TCCAAGAGGAAGAGGAGGAGGGGGAGTGAGGAAGAGGAGGAGGGGGAGTGAGGAGGGAGAAGTGTCATTCAAAAAGAAAAAGATGACATTAGAGCAAGCTTTTCCTCAAACAGCAGAGAAACCAGGAGAAGGAGCTTGGAGTGGACTTCCTGTCAGCTGTTCCTGACTCGGTTAGAGAGGGAAGTCTGGCCCACATCTTGGTCTGACTCGGTTAGAGAGGGAAGTCTGGCCCACATCTTGGTCTGACTCGGTTACTAAGAGAGGGAAGCTGGCCCACATCTTGGTCTGACTCGGTTACTAAGAGAGGGAAGTCTGGCCCACATCTTGGTCTGACTCGGTTACTAAGAGAGGGAAGTCTGGCCCACATCTTGGTCTGACTCGGTTAGAGAGGGAAGTCTGGCCCACATCTTGGTCTGACTCGGTTACTAAGAGAGGGAAGCTGGCCCACATCTTGGTCTGACTCGGTTACTAAGAGAGGGAAGTCTGGCCCACATCTTGGTCTGACTCGGTTACTAAGAGAGGGAAGTCTGGCCCACATCTTGGTCTGACTCGGTTACTAAGAGTGGGAAGTCTGGCCCACATCTTGGTCTGACTCGGTTACTAAGAGAGGGAAGTCTGGCCCACATCTTGGTCTGACTCGGTTAGAGAGGGAAGTCTGGCCCACATCTTGGTCTGACTCGGTTACTAAGAGAGGGAAGTCTGGCCCACATCTTGGTCTGACTCGGTTAGAGAGGGAAGTCTGGCCCACATCTTGGTCTGACTCGGTTAGAGAGGGAAGTCTGGCCCACATCTTGGTCTGACTCGGTTACTAAGAGAGGGAAGTCTGGCCCACATCTTGGTCTGACTCGGTTAGAGAGGGAAGTCTGGCCCACATCTTGGTCTGACTCGGTTACTAAGAGAGGGAAGTCTGGCCCACATCTTGGTCTGACTCGGTTACTAAGAGTGGGAAGTCTGGCCCACATCTTGGTCTGACTCGGTTACTAAGAGAGGGAAGTCTGGCCCACATCTTGGTCTGACTCGGTTACTAATGGCGCATTTCCATTGCAGCGCGTAGCTCGCTTTAAGCGTGCCGTGTCGTGCCGTCCCCTTTTTTGGTTGTGCTTCCACTAGGCCTCGTTCCGGCGCGGCACGGCGCGGGGCCACTTTTTCCCCTCTTTTCTGGCCCTAGAAAATTGTGGTTCTATCGGGGCCAACAAACAGGGCTGAGTATGCTAAACTAGAGAGAGGAGCGCTGGCAAGAGGGCTAGAACTACAACAAGATGGACATATTTGACCGTGATTTAATTGTAATACACGTTTCAAAATGATGCCGAAGTAACAACATACTGATACCGGTTAGTAAAAACCATGAATTAATGCTTTGTCAAGTCTGCAGACAGACGGCAGGCGAAAAACCTTTTAAAATTCGTGTTTTTCTAGATGGAGATTGGCTAAGCTAACGCAGTATATGCCCCGACCGTCCACACTCACAACAACGGCCTATACAGACATAAATTAAGCAGCGACTGTATTCACCATGACACAGGCAGTCTGTGGTTTGTACTTGTTTAACTTTTGTCGAGTTTCTGAACATATATAAGGAGCTGTGAGCTCTGAGTGCTCACAGCTAACGGCTGTGTTGTGTTTCTGGATTTCTCATTGAAGATGACGTCACGGCTCCGCCTACACTGCGTTACTACCCAGTTCCTAAACTGTAATGGAAGCGCAGCATGAAGTGAGTCGGCCCTGTTAAGGCCCAACGCGGCCAAGCCGTACCGAGCCGTACCGAGTGTGGCCGAGGCCGACCGTGTAGTGGAAATGCGCCATAAGAGAGGGAAGTCTGGCCCACATCTTGGGGACCGAGCACTCATTACTTACTCATTTAAACGGCCTAAAAAACAACATTTATTCAGGGCTTTGTTTTGAAAACCATCTCAAATGCCAACAGGCAGCACACAGTAACACCAGATGCTCTTCATCTGAACCCTCGATGAAAGGAGGAGCATGGTGTTGTTTAGCCCCTTTTTCTGATGACTGAACATTTAGGGTCCAATTTCGACTTCTGACACTTTGTTCGGTCCCATAAACAGCTTCTCTTGCTTCCTTTGGTGTCAAGTGTGTGTGTGTGTGTGTGTGTGTGTGTGTGTGTTTATCTGTTTTATGTCCTATATATATATATTCATGTTGCACTGTTGGAGGAGCCTTAAGTTTTTCATTGTCATATCTACACTGAAGCTAATGTGCAAATGACAATAAAGCCTTGAAACTTGAAACCAGAGTAATATAAGAGTGTGTGTGTGTTTCTCTGTGTCTCTGTGTGTGTGTGTGTGTGCGTGTGTGTGTGTTTCTCTGTGTCTCTGTGTGTGTGTGTGTGTGTGTGTGTGTGTTTCTCTGTGTCTCTGTGTGTGTGTGTGCGTGTGTGTGTGTTTCTCTGTGTCTCTGTGTGTGTGTGTGTGTGTGTGTGTGTGCGTGTGTGTTTCTCTGTGTCTCTGTGTGTGTGTGTGTGTGTGTGTGTGTGTGTGTGTGTGTGTGTGCGTGTGTGTGTGTTTCTCTGTGTCTCTGCGCGCGTGTGTGTGTGTGTGTGTGTGTGTGTGTGTGTGTGTGTGTGTGTGTGTGTGTGTGTTTCTCTGTGTCTCTGCGTGCGCGCATGTGTGTGTGTGTGTGTGTTTCTCTGTGTCTCTGCGTGCGTGCATGTGTGTGTGTGTGTGCATGTGTGTGTGTGTTTCTCTGTGTCTCTGCGCGCGCGCATGTGTGTGTGTGCGTGTGACGTACTGCCTGGTTCTCCATGCGAGCGAAGATGACGTTGAGCATCTGAGTGAGCGTGGCCTTGGCGGTGGTCTGGTTGATGAGGTTCTTGCTGGCCAGGTAGATGTTGTAGCAGGTCCTGACCGCCTGCAGCACCGTGCCCTCGTGGATCTCTATGTGCTGCGAGGTCACCGCCGTCAGGAGGGCCTAAACACAAGAGGAATACAAAAACAAAAACAGACTTTTTTGCACGATAAATAACTTGATTATTTAATAAAGTTGACAAAAATATCCCTCCCTAGTCCTAACACCAGACAGGTTGACTTTACAGTGACAGAAGAAGGGAGGAAGTCTCCTTATTACAATGTTTGATCAGAGTTGTAGTGTGTGTGTGTGTGTGTGTGTGTGTGTGTGTGTGTGTGTGTGTGTGTGTGTGTGTGTACCTTAATGATCTGCAGTTGCACCCCCTCATCAGTCTGAGGTCCCTGAAAGCAGGCGCAGATCGTCTCGATGATTCTGTCAATCAGCTTCTTCCCCGGACACGTGCTGTCAGGAGCACTTCCTGTCAGGTGACCGTACGCTATCAGCTTCTACACACACACACACACACACACACACACACAGAGACACAGAGAAACACACACACACACACACACACACACACACACACCTTGTTATACCTGGGAATATGAGCTGGAGCATTATGAGACATTACCTCTCCTACAGAGGAGCCAAACACACACACTTGAGAGTTGTTTACTCTCTTGTTGTTGTTGTTGTTGTTGGCTATCTGTGACCCTCTAACTCCCTGTAGTTGTTAGGCAGCTCTCTCTACGGTATTGTGTCTGTTGTTTTGAGTCATTTTGAGTCTCTTGTCGGGCTGTAACTCATGACCATTTGATATCATTGATTCATCTTTGGTTATTTGTTCTTACTAAATGAGTTTTTGGGTGTGAAACAGTAGAAATGCCCACAACAGTAGAAGACCAAGGTAATGTCATTAAATGTCCAAAACTAAAGATACAACAAATTGGTACATTTGGGACTGAAAATATTAAATTTGTGTTAATTTATTCTCTAAAAATGCATGAAAAGAGAAATGTATTAGTAAAGCAGTTGCTAATTGAATACATTGGATTTGCATAGTGCTTTTCCTAGTGCTCAAAGACAACATGTACTATCTGCTGACTATCTAATTAATGCATGACCTTTAATCATGCAGCTTTAGTCTCTTTGTGGTCCTTAAGTGTCTTTTTGTGGTTGTTATGTCCCTTTGAGAGTCCCTTTGAGAGTCCTTTGAGAGCCCCTTTGAGAGTCCCTTTGAGAGTCCCTTTGAGAGTCCTTTGAGAGCCCCTTTGAGAGTCCTTTGAGAGTCCCTTTGAGAGTCCTTTGAGAGTCCCTTTGAGAGTCCTTTGAGAGTCCTTTTGAGAGTCCTTTTTAGTATTTTTCTGACTGTTTTGTGGCTTCTAACTGCAGAATAGCTGCTGCATCGATGCCTGGTAGCATTTATTATCATGTCACTTTCTGCACATGCACCCAATTGCAAACACAGCTTTAATTGATATACAGATGGAGCATCTTATTTCAGACTCCAGCATACAGCTTCCTGCCTACTACCAGCCAGTTACCTGCCTAAGACCTGCCAAAGACCAGTATCTGGGAATGTTAAGCCCTCCCACTATTTTCCAAGAGGGCGTTGCCAGATTTTCAATTTCAGGATTTAACCAGGAGATGGCGCTATATATTAAATAACTATGGCCAAACTAAGACTTAGTTTTTCACAAGAGAAAATGCAGATATTATATAAAAAACTAAAGTTAAAATCTTGTTTTTAATGCCCCCAGAGCAATAAAAACACTTGTTAAAAAAATCCTGAGTGAGGCTTTCATAAATTGCATTTAGCTGACGCTTTTATCCAAAGCGACTTACTATTTAATAAATGATAAATGATTATTCATAACAAATATGAGTGATGTGTGATTATTATTCATGCTATATACTGATATAGGGCTAAGTAAGCAATCAATCCTGCAAATTAACCCTTAGAGGTTCAATATATTTATTCAGACAATGTGAGTAGAAATACAGAAATTCTGCTCCCACCTAAGGCCAACGTTGCAATATTACAACATTTCCCTAAAAACTTACCTAAAACTCTTTAATTTCTGCTCCAGAGGCCAGGGGTTAAATTGGGATTTGATATGTGGGGGGGCTCTGTTAGAAGGTCCGACGGGGGAGGGGGGAGAGAGTTAGACGCTCGTGAATTGTCAACGGGGGGGGTTGACATCAGAGCATCGTCCTATGGGCTTAGCCCCGGACAGGTACAACAGGTATTCACTCAGAGGGGGGTAGGTACTAAATGCCACCCATTTACATGGAGGCAAACAAAATCAACATACAGTAGGGGGGTGGGGGATGGTGAACGGTATGGTCAATGTTTGTAAACACAATCCCCAGGATGTGTCCTTATCAAACCAAAATAGAAAATGCAGATATTACACTCAGACATTGGAAAAGTCTATGTTAAAAAGCCTCAGTCATGTTCAGCTATGTTACTATTTAGAATGTTATTGTTGTTACAACAGAAGATGTTTTTCTTTATATTGAAGGTAAATGCATCAATCTGGTGCACTTTGAGGTCAAAATTAAGAGATTTATGGATACCGCTGGAAAAAGCTGTGTGTGAAAGTTTAAATCTTCCTTATTGAGCTTTAAAACAAATGAATAACGACTATATATTATAATAAAATAAACACCGGCTGTTGTTATGCCTGCTGTTACGTTAAATTACTCCGTTCTCCGCTTAAGTAATTATGCCGTTACAAGCTTCATAGTTGTATTTATCATCTAAATTTGCCGAAACAAGTTTAATATTCTGAAAGCCAAGACTTTGTTTATTTGAAATCAGATGAAAACCAACTGTAACGGACCCTGCCGTGTTATCTTGATATTTCCGGCACAGACCCTTTCATACCGGCAATGCGCGATAGAAACAACAGGAACTGCGACAGCATAAATATGCGAACACAAACCTACAGACTGCTGGAGAAGAGATATCACAGGGGGAGGTTGGAACACACACATTCCGATGGCCAATTAGTTTTAAACAAAGAGTATAGCCTACTCAACATAGGGGGGTGGGGGCTGAGGCCTGTACTACGAAGCTGGATTTTCGCTTAGCCGGCTAACTTCAGGGAAATCTCTGGCTTTCCGGTCCTACGACGCTGGTTCTCTTTTTAGCGGGCTAGATTTCCATGGTAACTTATGCTGAGCGGCAAACCTGCTCCGGAGCAGGTTAGGTGGCAGGCTAAGAGATCAACTCAGTGAAAGCACCGCCTGTTGACCAATCAGAGCTCCGTGTGCGGAGTTTAAAGCGATCAATTCATATTACAGGATAGAGGAAATACAGAAAAACTGCCGTTGCAGGAAAGACGGCCGGCCAAAATCAACTGACTGTGAACGTGAACATGAATAGAATATCCCCTCCCATCTTCAGAGCAATCTGACTATTATAATATTAGCGTTAAGAAAGCTTACTTAAATATCTGCCACGACATAAGTAACCGGATCAGAGTAACATTACGTACAGTCCGCGGCACTGTGAGTGCAGACGTCGATGTGTCCCATTATCATTCATATCATATCACATCATAATGTATCATATATCTCCTTATCTGAGTCAGCTGAGCCGTATCTGGCCGTGCAACACTCACAGTGTCACATACTGTATGCAGAAGTATTATTTTAAGCAACACATTAAGTTGACGAAACACTCGAGTCAAATGTAATTAAAGTCAGATCGTGTCTTAGACGGGGCAGTGATTTCATAAACCTGTTAATGTACGCATTCAAACACTTTCTCTGTTACCAGCTGTATTCACCTTGCAGGTGCAGCTATGTGGCTTTGATCCTGGATAAAGTGTTTAAGTCATGGATGTTTAAAGTTTCACTTCTTCATATTTGACTAATATTAAAGTTCACTTTTCATTCAGGAAGTATGACGCTGCGCTGTCAGTACGCTTGTCCATGTTTGTGATTGGTCGAATGCTCCAGATACCACCCCTTTCATGTGAACGCGCACCTAACTAGATAGGACACGGCTGGCTTGAGCGATCCACTTGATAACCAGCGTCGTAGTACAGTTTAGCCAGAGCGCGTATGTTTTGGATTGGGCCAACCGGCTAACTCAAACATATCCAGGTTAGGTTGAACCAGCTTCGTAGTACAGGCCTCTGGTGAACGGTATGGTCAATGTTTGTAAACACTGTGACATTTTGACTTTATTTGATCATTTCAGTTAAAAACTAATTTAGTAATTTACAGGAAAGGAGTGCACGCTACTAAAGAGACACGCTACCATGGAAACCAAACAATGGTGTTGCTGTATTGAAGTCCGAGTGGAAACAGTCATATTTGGAGCGTTATGTTAGAATGAAACAGCCAGGTCGTGACTCACAAAAAAAAAGTGTTACTTCACTAACTGTAAGCTTGTCACTCAGAGTAACCTACAGTTAACTTAACTGCTGGAGAAGAAAGATCAGGGGGGGGAGAGAGCTGTGGATGATGGGCCATTAGGTGTGTAAACACACAGCTGAGAGCTGCCGTTTCATCCTGACTGTTTAAAAAACGGTAACAACGGACTATTTTTCTTGGCGGATGCATGTCAATTTAAATCAATACATACAACTATTTTTTAAATCAATAAAAACATTTTCTAAATCCATAAAAGCATTTCAATTAATATTGGGAGTCATGTCGTTACTTTGTTGAGAATGTGGCCATGTAATAAGCGGGATAATTTGCAGCGACTTGGTCATTATGGGGAAAAATAACACCCAGGGATCAAGATCCCTCCGCTACGCGGATCTTGATCTGCCTGACAAGGCTCCATTAAAATATAAATATTTTTAGTGAATTACTGAGTTTAGGCACGTTAATAACATTTTAATGAAGTTGAATACAGTATATTCATATTTGTCAGTGATTTCATGTCAATTCGGCGAACATAAACATAAATGATCGTGGTGAAGATGATGATTAAATTAGGATTACAAATCGAGAGCCGGCTGCATTTCCTCTCGTTCGTTTTTTCCGACTAAACAACATTATTTTGTTAAATAACAACATGGTGATGTTTTGTAAATGATTACATGTCTTATTTAGCACAGACTATGATCCTATCCGTGACATATGGATCTTAACAAAGATCCGCTATACATTAGTACCAGACATACTGTACATTGTGGTGATTGACATTATTCACCCACGGATCTATGGGTTGGGGTATTGTTCCGCACGGACATTTTAGTGAACCAGACCAGCTGTTTCCGCTGGTCTTCGCTTCCCGGGCATGAAGTTGTTTACATGTGTGTTCAGATGCTAAATAAAAGTTTAGCTTGTACTTTTGATACCCCGCCTCCGACTCCCGTCTCTCGGCACCACAACATCCAGTTTACTGTATCGAAGTTGATTTCACATGAGCTCCAGTGTGGAACCCCACTGCACCCTCTGGTGGATCAATGATCCATTGCAGCTGGCTTCACAATAATTAAATGTATTTATCACGGGGGCGGTATCAAGTCAGACTGGGGGCCGGCTCTTCATCACGAACCGATCACGGGCCGATCACGGACCAATCGCGACCCTCGCGTTTCAAACTGTCTGCAATAAGATGCTCCATCTGTACATTATCCTCTCTCCACATGTGTCAGGATGCAGTGCCACTGACCTGCAGACAGTCGAGCGAGGTGATGACGATTCGAGGACATTTTGACTGACAGGCCAACTCGAACGGCAGGAAGTACTTGTCGGCTTCGATGAAGTTGGTTTTGGATTTGATGGGAGGTAAAGTGCTGGAGCCGGACTTCACATCACTAGGAGGAGGACTGAAGAAGAAGAGAGGAACACACACATCATGCAGGGTCTGAAAATCATCCTGACACACACACACCACTGACAATGCTACTTCGTTAGCTTGAAGGTGAAAAGGGTAAACTAACAGATATCACCGGGAAATACAGTTTCATGTTTTCATTTTGACTTGATCTCCACACACACACACACACACACACACACACACACACACACACACACACACACACACACACACACACACACACACACACACACACACACACACACACACACACACACACACACACACACACACACACACACACACACACACACACACACACACACACACACACACACACACACACACACACACACACACACACACACACACACACACACACACACACACACACACACACACACACACTATTGCATGAATGCTTACCTTAATTTCTCTGATTCCTCTTTGATTTCCTCTGAAAAACAAGACACAGAAAGTAGAATTAGTGGAGGAGGAACCTTTGGGGATTTAAAATCTGCCGTTTTAATCAGATAATAGGATCTTGAGGTGTTAAAATGATGCATGAGTGCAAAATAAAGTGTGTGTGAGATATTGGAGATCCTATAACTAATGATATATCCACTGACTGCAGGGTTCATGTGTTTCCTGTTGTCTAAGCCTCACTGTGTTGTGATGGTGATGCTGTTTGTTGATGCCCCCCCCCCTCCCTGTGCAGAGGATTCTGGGTAATGTTTCCCTGCACACACACACGCACACACACACACACACACACACACACACACACACACACACACACACACACACACACACACACACACACACACACACACACACACACACACACACACACACACACACACACACACACACACACACACACACACACACACACACACACACACACACACACACACACACACACACACACACACACACACACACACACACACACACCTTTTAAACCCTGTGACGTTGCAGTGAAGCAGCCCAATTATCTCTCTGCAGGAAGTGTAACAGAGAAGTACGGCTAGCCACGAGGGACAAAAAGCAAAGTGTTTCATTCTGAAGCCACGGAGAGAGAATACATCATCTGTTGGGTTCCTGTGCAGCAAGACACTCTGTGGCTTCCACCAAACCCAGAGGAAGTGGTTGATAATATCCAGATGTCAGCGGGATGCAGAGGCATTAGAGGAACTTCCTGCAAACTGAACATCATCTTCATCTTCCTCCTCTTCCTCCCTGACTTTGATCCACATATCAGACATTATGAGCATTACTGTGCATGTGAATCCCCCTTGAAGACACTCATCTCAGGTCTATATCTAACTTTCTTTCATCAACAAGAGACGTGTCCAGACTTCCTGTTTCTCTGCAGAGTGATTGCTCTGAAGCACCAGCAGCAGAAACACACATATCATCCAGATTCAGACACAACGCACGTGTGCTGACAAGAATCTCACAAAACAATAAGCATCTGATACAGGGTTTGGCTTTCAGGAAATCAGGAGTATAATAAACTGTTATCGTGGCCAAAGTCATCCTCATAACGATGACCGAGCTTCTAGGTTAGGATTCCTTCAGTGCTCGTGGTTCAGGAGGTTTATAGCATCTCCTCTTCTGATATACATATAGAGAGTAGTAACAACACTGAATAAAGGTTGAGGTTAAAATCAGAGTTTCTGTTCGGCTGTCGCTTTAGCTCAGCTAGTTTCTCTGATAACTTCAGATCCAGACGTCCCATCACGAGCATCCTTCATCCCATCACGAGCATCCTTCATCCCATTAAAACATAGAGAAATATGACATGTTACACCTTTTTGTGTAGTCTAACTCACTCTCTGCCACAAGTCTTTGCACAAAAGAAACAACGTGTGTTCCTGAGAATCGATGCAGTGTCACAGAACATTGAGAAACTGGAGAATACAGACATGTTTTCTACAGAAGCCTTTCCTCCAGAGGAGAGAGAGAGCTAAGCTGCAGAGAGAAGGTCAGAGGGAAAGCCGGCTAATCACACACACACACACACACACACACACACACACACACACACACACACACACACACACACACACACACACACACACACACAACACACACACACACACACACACACCACACACACACACACACACACACACACACCACACACACACACACACACACACACACACACACACACACACACACACACACACACACACACACACACACACACACACACACACACACACACACACACACACACACACACTTCTTTGTCCTCCTGATGAGGAAATAAAACACTTCCTGATTTCAGTTTTCAAACCGTCACACGGTGGTCGATCGGCCAATCATCAGGAGGTTAATAAAGGAACTGATCCTCCATGGAAACACTTTATTATTAGATATTTCCACATCTGGGGACAAACATCTCGTCCTTAGAGGCAGATGTATTAAAGCAAGAGACACTGCAGGAAGAACGACATGTCTTCCATCAGACGAGTGGAAACACGTCACAGTAGAGAAACAAATACTCATATGAACCTGAACATGACAGATGATGTCCTCTTTAACATTTACTACTTGACTTGTTGTCCTCTAAATATTACAGCCTTTTATTTTGGAAATCTTAAAACAGTTTTTCCTTTAAAAAATCTGCTTTTTTCTCCAAATATTCATATTTTTTCCAATTTATTTGAAAACCCTTCAGTTTTTATGAACTTCTTCGTACAAAAATGTTAAATTGCATGAACTTTCTTTCCTCAAATATATATATCTGTTTGTCTAAAGAGTACAACTTTTTGCAGGACATTTTCTCTCTAAGATATTGGCCTTTTGCTCAAATGTCTTTACCTCTCTCACAGAAATCTCTCTTACACACATCAAACTCTCCAGGTTCATTCCTCTCTATATTCTGCAGATTTCTACACCATTCAAACACACATTCATACACACATTCATACACACATTCAAACACACATTCATACACGCATTCAAACACGCATTCATACACGCATTCAAACACACATTCAAACACACATTCATACACACATTCAAACACACATTCATACACACATTCAAACACACATTCAAACACACATTCAAACACACATTTAAACACACATTCAAACACACATTCAAACACACATTTATACACACATTCAAACACACATTCAAACACACATTCAAACACGCATTCATACACGCATTCAAACACACATTCATACACACATTCATACACACACACACACACACACACAAAACACATCAAACACACATTCAACACACATTCAAACACACAGGCATACACACAGTTAAACACACAGGGAAACACACAGGCAAACACACATTCAAACACACATCAAACACACACACACAGGCAGACACACAGGCAGACACACATGCAGACACACGTCACACACAGCAAACACACAGGCAACACACATTCATACACACAGGCAAACACACAGTCAACACACATTTAAACACACAGGAAACACACAGGCAAACACACAGGCAAACACACAGGCAAACACACAGGCAAACACACGTCAAACACACAGGCATACACACATTCAGACACACATTAAACACACAGGCAAACACACAGGCAAACACACATCATACACACAGGCAAACACACATTCAACACACACAGGCAACAACATTCACACATTCATACACACATTCATACACACATTCATACACACATTCAAACACACATTCATACACACATTCAAACACACATTCATACACACATTCAAACACACATTCAAACACACATTCATACACACATTCATACACACATTTAAACACACATTTAAACACACATTCAAACACACATTCAAACACACATTCATACACACATTCATACACACATTCAAACACACATTCAAACACACATTCATACACACATTCAAACACACATTCATACACACATTCAAACACACATTCATACACACATTCAAACACACATTCATACACACATTCATACACGCTCTTAAGAGATATCCAAAAGTCCCTCTGTAAATAGCTTTGACTTGATTTGTATGAAGTTATTACCTCGACTTTGTTCCCTTTTCACCTGCAGAGTCTCCCCTTAAAGCTAACCTAACACCCTGTGATATCTGACACCGACACTGTGTGAAATATTCATGATCTGACGACGTAAAGAAGACAAAAGCTCCAGAGAAACACCACATGCAGAACAACAGCATCATGTGATCAGATCTGATGTTTCAGAGACGTCACAGGTTTCTGCAGGAATCCCACTGATCACAGCGTGGATACGACGTGCACAGAACTGGAGATGTGTATCAGATCAAGTGCATGAATCAGAAAGGGAAGTGTGTGTGAGCTGAGGAGTAAAGTGTTGCTTCAGATCCAGAGGAATGTGCTCCCCTCGTGCAGCAGCTAACGACGCTCTGCAGATTACACACGGCTGCACATTCATTAGACCCTAAACTGAATAAATAAACACTATGAGACATGATGATGCATTTCAGAGAAAACTACAGCTGTGTGTGTGTACAGGAGAACTCTCTCAGTGACCTGACAAAGCCTCACTGAGTGTCTCTTGCACTTAAAGAAATGCTTGAAGGCTTTAAGAGAAAGCTTCCTGCGTCTCAGTGCAACTACAGCGAGTGCTTTTCTGAATAACTCCCGATGAGAGAGAGTCGTGATTTGCTCGGCTTTCTACACACGTTTGCATATTTGTTCCGAGCATAAACAAACACAGAAGTCTGAGTGCTGTTTTAAACCAGCTGCAGATCATTTCAGTGCTGAACATCTGAAATGATAAGTTTAAAAAGAGGAAAGAGACCCTTATTTCAACTCAACATGAGGTGTGCTCATGCATGCTGTCACTGTGCTGCTTTACTCAAACAACCGACTGCTGTGAGTTTGCAGATCTGTGTGAGAGGAATACCTTATCATTGATTTATAAAGGAACAGAGAGACGGTACACCTAGAGTTCAACACATTTGAATTCAAAATGATATTGCAGATTCATTCTACTACTTTAAAATGCCTTATCACCAATTTAAAAGCCTATGAAAAGCTGTCTCATGACCCCTTATTGTACTCTCAAGGTTATCATGATTAAGAGCAGTCGTGCAATGCACAAACATATTCTGATAAAACAGACTATCTTTCATGCATTTTCCTCCTAATATCGTGCAGAGCAGAAACTCTTTGTCTAGGCAACAGAATGACTTTGTTAGGTTGACGTAATTAAACTTTTGGTTAAGGTAAAGCTCATGTTTTGGGTTAAAATAAGCACGTTTGAACTTCTTGACAAGGCTTTTATTTATTCAAATTAAACCTGTATAGTTTGAAATAAACATACTATAATCTGCAAAATGTGCTAAAAAGTCAGAAATGATAGTGATAACGTTCTGTAGGTTAAATACATAGTGTAAAAAGCATGGTCTGCACACATGAACCAATATTGATCTGCCTCCAGCTGTTTGATCA